CGCCACGACATGATCCGAACGCCCTCCGACAGAAGAATTGGAACGACCATTGCTAGCGTGTGTTCGGTTGGGTCGCCACTTCAGCACTGCGTCGAGCGAGGCGCGACACGGGTGGACCTGAAGGGGGATACTAAAGGTGACGAGAATGACAATGCCAATCTGGCCGATGAATGTTGCAATGGAGGGGGCGTCTGTAATAGTTAGATACAGAACTTCCTGACTATGCGTGAACTTACACATAGAGACAATGTTGCCGTTGACGTCGTTGCCAAAAGTAAGATAGCCAGTGATCGCCACAAGCAGATACATGCTGGCAGCACCGCCAATGCTGAAGCCAACGACTCCTACAACACTGAGGAGACATTAGTCAATTTCCTTGCGCCGAGACACTACGGGAAAAATACCTTGAGGGCGAGTTATCCTTAATCTCGTTGAGGATCGAAAACATCTGCGAGACATCAGTGATTCATTCTTCAACGCAGACGTAGGTGGACTCACGTTTTGATGACAGGTGTAAGCAAAAACTACCACCGGCAAGGTGCTCAAAAAGGCAACAGCACTCTGCGGTTTGACGACTCGAAGTCCACTCTTGTCTTGAAGAGGCTGGGCTCCGAAATGGTAAACCACAAGGATGACAAGGTACCCAATCGAGACCAGCGCGACAATACTTGTGTACTTCAGCGAGTCCAGTCTCCGGAGGAAGGCTAATGGTATGACCAAAAACATGAAAGCCGTAATCCAAAAATTGCGATCTGTCAGGTAGGGATGGAGTTCTGGGGTGTTGCTATTGAATCCGAGAATGACTTTGGGCATCAGATCACCAATGATGATCATGTATGAAACGCCTACACCGAAGCACTTGACGGCGATGGCGGCATCGAAGAGCACTGCCGCATTCGGGTATGTGAGCTTCGATATGGCAAAGAAGGATGAGCTGCCCCGATCGAGGTATCGTGCACAACGACCTTGAAGGTAAAGGCCCATGGCAGCTGTCAAACCAGACCAGACGATCATCAGAGAGCCGAGCACAATGCCCATATGCGACAAGACGGATGGCATAGCCAATGTACCTGCGCCGACAACTAGTCCCAGATACGTCAGATCTTCTCCTTTGTGTACGCTCTCCGTAGAATGACATACTGGTATTGAGTAGGTTGATGATACTGCTCAGCATCGAGGCCTGGCCGCCTCCCTCTCGGGCTTTTCGACGTGATCTGAGGGCGTCATGGTCAGCAAGTCGTCTGAGATGTCGAATAGGTGCTAAAGAAGTTCGGGCGTACCGGTTCATCTCGTCAGCGCTTCCACTTGTCGAGGAAGAAGCGTTGCCATCAGCAATGGTGTTGTAATTGGTCATTTAGTCCAAGTAGAGCCACGATTTCCTTGGCTGGTAGCACAGTGAGAAGGCAGCGGTCGCGTTATCGTGTGTAATCGAGCAGGTATTCCTCGATCCCGTCGTAGGTCAGTCGTCGGGAGTCTATAGAGGTCGAACCGGAACGTGACGTGCTCTGGACCAACAGGTCACAGGGGCTTGTGACCAGGAGGTCGGTCGCCTGGAGCCGCTCGCTGAAACCTACAGTAGGTTCAGAGGGCAAGCGGCTCGGTCAAAATCGAGTCGCTTAGGAGATTCGGAGGGCGTGCCGCAACGCCCTTGGCTCATTCAATGTTTTGCGACGACGAGATGATGTGTTCTGATGGATTGTAAAACTGGGGGGTCGTCTGGTACCTGTAGAGTTGAACACGACGTCGATGCGACTTGGCGATTGTCACAAGTTGGTCATGGGTCAGCCACATCCCTTATCGTGCATAAGCTTCAGCCACAATTGACGTTATCAGTATCAGTGACAGCTTCTTGGGAATGTACCTTCAGCCGGATCAGCAGGGCCTCCATATTGAAGTCATCCTGTCGTCAAGTCTCTTCTGTCGCACTACAATTCGCTCTCGAAACTCTCCCCAACGGGCCCAATCAGATTAAAGACTTCTCGATTCGTTCCCTGCTGCTAATCATGGAATCAACTCTCGATGACACGACTTTGTCGACAATCTCACTCTTGGAGGCGCGCTTGCGGCGGGCAGAGCATATTCTCTACGGCCAAGGAGATGCTCCGGCAATCTCCCATTCTGAACCTGCGGCTTCATCTCTTGAATCTCTTGAAAGGCGATTTTATGTCCTCTTGGGCAACATCAAAGTTTACGGGGAACTCATGAAGATTCGTATGCATAGACAGGCCTGTTTATTCACTCCACAGCTAACCGACGCCAGACAAGACGCAGCCAACTCTTTTTCACCCGCCATCCACAGAACAGCCCCCTATCGACCTCTCCTCTGAAGCGATTCGCGCGACCGTCATCGCGGCCGCCGCGTCATTTCCTGCAACAGCGTCTTCGCTCACCTCCGTGTCCGACTGTCCCATTCCCGACCCTTCGCAGAGCGCATCCCTCGCAGCTATGATCCCGCGAATGCGCGGCATCGAAGCAACACAGCTCGCACAAGAAGTCGAAATGGCCGAGCTGCGAATGCGGAGTGAAGCGGTTATCAGTAGCTGGTACGAAAACGGCGTCCTCTCTGCATCTCGTTTCGTCGCGGACATGGAGGGCCAGGTCGAGAAGTTCGAGAGGCAGGTGAGAAGGGCAGAAAAGCAGCAAGAGGCTGCGGAAGCATTGTGAAGAGCGATGCGCTGTAGTCCAACTCTTACCGGCTATGACCCGTGAGACGGTAATAATAACGTCTTGTTGGGTAGGACAGCCATCGCCATGTTCCCGCAGGAGGTGATGTCCCCTGCCCCCGCTATCTAAGGAGATGCGCCTGCGCGATATCTATTCGCATTCCTGAGCCGGGGGTACGTGGTATGACCCGTCTGGGCGTCAACTTTCGACGCCAGTTTTGAGGACATCTGCTGGGCTCAATTACAACATACAAGAGGTGCAACTCGGCCTAAACTCCTTCGTGTTCGCTCCAGCGATCACATCGCGTAGAAATACTGCGGAGCGACGCCAAACTGCTCGTGCTTCACAAGGTCATTCGATCCCCAAGTGCGAAAATCGTCCAGCATCGGTTCGAAACAACAGCAACCTCCAAAGTCGTCGCGCAGCATGGGCATGTCAATTACATGACCACGCCAGATATCCCACTTGAGCGTCAACGTTTAGTGATTCAGGGTAAAGTTAGGAATGGGACCTAATTCACTGGCAAGGGGCTGTCATAGGACTTGGTGACGTATTTTCTCAGGTCGGAGCTTCATTCGGCACAGATGGCTCCGAGTTTCACACGTACGGGTGTCACAGGCGTGATGGTGGGGACAGAGACAGCTGCGAATGGTGACGGCTCGCCTTGTTGGTAGCAGAAACAATCAAGACAACCTCGACACATCATCCCGTTGGCCTCCAATGCGTGTCGGAGAAGACACCGGTTCGCACGCTCTGTGAGCTTGTGAAATGCATGGCGCCTGGCACCCACAGGACAAAATTGTTCTATGGGATGCATGATAGTGATCTGATCCAGGCCAGGCCAAGCCCCAACTATGGCTCAGAAGGCGTTGCAACATTCCTCGAGGACAGGTGACACTCGGTGCAGAACAAAAGGTCGCCAATAACAACGCTCCGACCAGCTAGCGGCCGCTGCTTGCCTCCACGCTTAGCTCTGTTAGGGACAGGTTCAGGGGTAAAGAGTGGAGGTGGCTGATCTGCCACTAGGCCTTGACGGAAAGTGAATACAGTGCGCACGGGAACGTCGGGGCTTGTTGGTACGCTCACACGTTCGTAGCCCTGTGAGGTTGAAAGAAATGCGAACAGTACCTTACTTCCGGACCATGCATACGGTTGGGCTCTCCTGGAGGGGCCTGGTGGCGTCTCTCGTTCCTGAAGCGGCTCTGGTGTCGGCTCGCTTTTCGGCGGTCCGATTTATCAATGTGCCGCGAGTTGGCGATGATATCTGGGAGGAGCTGTCAGTAGGGCCCGAGATCGACCATGGTCTCGATCCGGGATTACTCTCGCTTGAGAATGATAAGGTTTTAATAGAACTGATGACCAGTGCCTTACTCTCGGCGCGGAGGATCCAGGTCCAGAGATCGTCGGCCATTTTGGCGGCTATCCCAGCCTTGCTCGGGTCGATAACCGCCAGCCCTGTACTATTTGTAGCTGCAGGAGCCCAAGGTAGCAGAGACATGTGCTGTCCACCGCAACGAGGACAGACTGAAGAAAGAACTGCTAGAATCTTGGCAGATGCACATGTCTGTGGCCATGGGCTGAATGCCACTGGACACGAGCAGCGCAAGACGAGAAGCTGTCAGTGACGCCGAGGTGGCCGTGCGTTGCCTCTGGGTGAGGGGTAGCCCTGGTTCTCAGTCGGCGGCGGAAATCGTCTGATCGATGCCTTTTTCATGCAACAAGACAGACAGTTGGATGACTGGTTCGTGACTGGTGAAGTTAAGGGTTCAGTCAAGGAAGAGCCTGGGTTTCCACTTGTGTGGGTATCAGGTTTCCCCCGCATGTATCACGGATGCCATGATCATACAACCATGACGCCTGAGCCAGTCGATCAAGTAGTGCCGATGCTGCCGGAAAGCGTTTTGTTTTCAAGACGATGAGAAGCCTAGACAATCGCCGCGTGTGTTCGTCTGTCTCAAAGACCAACGGGCCATGATGAAACCACCTTGCGGAATCTTCACAGAAGGAAGCGTGTGAGCCAACGAAGACGCGCCGGCTTTCTCGAAGTCAATCCATGCACCGCACACTGTGCTGGTGACGACGACACAGTGCCCACGGCGTCATCTGTGCCCGGTTGATGGGGCCAAAGTGGACAAAGGGGCGGGTGGGGTTGTAGGTACCCAGGTAGTGCGATACGCCAACGAACACAGTACGCAGCACTGAGCCAGCCAGGCTGACAGCGAAGGACCTGACATGCCTCATCAGTTCCAGGTATCTTACCGCCTAGGTATACCCAAATGCCCAGGTCACACTGCCACTGCTTCCCCTCTCCATTTCGTACCTGGGTCGCACAATCTCGTCCAGCACAAACACGAGATCTAGGGACCCTCCAGTTGATGTGGGATCGCGAAAAACTCTTTCGAACAACACCACGCGTCACATCCCATCGATATCAAGCTGAGCCATTGACCAGCTTGGATCGCTAAAGCACTTTGTGGATCCAAACCCCTTACGCTACAAACGACAAAGGACACTACCCTCGCAAGGCACCAAGCACGGTCAGTCGTCGTATCGAAGCAAGGCCCGACTAAAAGCCTGCTTGCTCCATTGCTCCGCTCTTGTCTTTGGACACCCCTTCATTTCCATTCTGTCACGACCGTTCATACTGTACGATAGTCGAACGAACATCGAGACAAGCAGTAAGGAGGGACGCATCGACTTGATCGTCTCACCACGTTGTCGATTCTTCTTCTGGGCCTGATCCGCATACCCCCGCCTGAGTCGGTTCGCATCTCGACAGCACAGACCTGGTCCGATTCCAGCCCTCGCCTCCAGCGCCGCTGTCAGCACCGCACATTCCAACGCCCTGCCTAAGAATCTGGAACCTCGACGCAGTCCGAGTGTCCTCCTCCTGCTCCTCCGCCGAATCCGCCAGCCCGCCTCCCCTGCGCCGCATCCTCCCATACTCTTCTTCCTACCCCTGTGCTGGCCCGCCCCCCCCGTCCCTTTCAGCCATCCCTTCTTCACCAATCTCTTCGACTGG